CTATAACACCATGAAAGAGAAATGAAATGTGCATGAATTGCAAAATATGTTAGTCTAGGAATGTAGTTTCTTTGTCTAAGCTTAATGTTATTGGATATTTTTTTAAGTTTGAGAATGATTGTTTCAGTTTATTTAAGCATACTTGTATGATTGGAATTGATACATTTTTTTATGATTTATATAAATTAAATTTGGATGATTTATATGTTGAAACTCTCATGACCTTGCATTATAATGTTATACTAAATGTAGTTTGGTGGATGAATGATATGCTTACTTGTGGCATAAGCGTTTGAGACATATTTTCAAAGAAAGAATACAAAGATTAGTAAAGAATGAAATCCTTTCGGATTAGATTTTACTAATCTAAATATATGTATGAATTGTATTAAAGATAAACAAACAAAACACACAAAGAAAGGAGTCACAAGAAGCACTCAACTTCTTGAAATCATACACAATGAGATATGTGGTCCATTTGATGTAAATTCTTTAAATAAATAAAAAATTCATCATCTTTATTGACGATTTCTCGCATTATGGATATGTTTATTTACTACGTGAGAAATCTCAAGCAATAAATGTCTTAGAAGGTTATATAAATGAAGTGGAGAGACAATTAGACAGAAAGGTGAAAATTGTCAAGTCAAATAGAGGTGGTGAGTATTATGAAAGATATAATGAAAGTGGACAATACCCTGGTCCATTTGCTAAGTTCCTTGCGAAACGTGGTATTTGTGCTCAATACACAATGTCAAGCACACCGCAACTAAATGATGTCTCTCAAAGGCGTAATTGAACCTTAATGGATATGGTTAGGAACATGTTAAGTAATTTATGTTTACTTGTATCATTGTCGATGTATGCTTTGAAGACGGTCATGTATTTGTTAAACAGGGTTCCTAGTAAAGTGGTTCAAAAGACTCCTTTTTGGGTTATGGACAAGTATGAAACCTAATTTGTGACACTTACATGTTTGAGATTGTCAGACAGAAGTAAGAATTTATAATCTGTAAGAAAAGAAATTGGATACAATAACAATCAGTGAATATTTCATTGGTTATCTAGAAAAGTCAAAAGGGTATATGTTTTACTATCCTACCCGTAGTACAAGAATTGTTGAAACTGAAAATGCTCAGTTAATTGAAAATGATGAAACCAGTGGGAGTGAAGCTTCACGAAATGTGGAGATTAAGGAAGTTAGAGTACAAGTTCCTGTAACTAGTACATCTTCTTTAAGGGTTGTTGTTCCATATGTTGTAGAACCACACGACAATCAAGAAGAATGACAAATTAATGATCATGAGATTAACAAAGAGCCGATAATAAAACAACCACAAGAAATAGTATTAAGAAGATCTCATAGAGAAAAAAAGTCTACTATTTCGAATGAATACGTGGTTTATCTACAAGAGTCAGAAAATGACCTAAGTATTAATAATGACTCAGTTTCATTTTTAGAAGTCATTAATGGTGATAATTCTGACAAATGGTTAGATGCTATAAAAGATGAACTTAAATCAATGACACATAATGGTGTATGGAATCTTGTAGAATTGTCAAAAGGATGCAAGAGTGTTGGGTGTAAATTGATATTTTAAGACTAAACGTAACTCTTATGGCAATATCGAATGTTACAAGGTCCGACTTGTTGCCAAAGGTTTTACTAAAAAAGATGGCATTGATTAGAAGGAAATATTTTCACCTATTTCTAAAAAAGATTCTTTTAGAATTATCATGACATTAGTAGTTCATTATGATCTTGGGTTACATCAAATTGATGTTAAAACTGCCTTTTTGAATGAGAATTTAGAGGAAGATATTTATATGGACCAACTGGTGGGGTTTATTGAAGAAGGAAGGAAACACATGGTGTGTAAACTTAAGAAATCAATATATGGACTTAAATAAGCTTCTCGACAATGGTATCTTAAGTTCAATGATACTATTCTGTCCTTTGGATTTAAGGAAAACACTGTTAGTCGGTGTATATATATGAAGGTCAGTGATAACAAGTTTATTTTTTTGATTCTGTATGTTGATGATATCTTGCTTGCAACTAATGATCTTGGTTTATTAAGTGAGACTAAGAAACTTCTCTCTAAAAACTTTGAAATGAAAGATATGGGTGAAACATACTATGTGATAGAAATAAAAATATTTCATGATAGATCACAAGGACTGTTAGGTTTGTCTAAGAAAACTTATATTAATAAAGTTTTAGAGAGATTCAGAATGAAAAAATGTTCAGCATCTCCCGTTTCAATACAGAAAGGAGACAAATTTAGTCTCATGCAATGTCCAAATAATGACTTGGAATTGAAACATATGGAAAATATCCTTTATGCATCTGTTGTTGGGAGTTTGATGTATGCTCAAACATGTATGAGGCCAGATATTAGTTTTGCAGTTGATATGTTGGGTAAATACCAGAGTAATCTGGATTGGATCTTTAGAAAACTACAAAGAAAGTTTTAAGATACTTACAAGGAACAAAGAATCACATGTTTACTTATATAGATTCAGATTTTGCTAATTGTATGAATACACGAAAGTCTACATTTGGTTATGTGTATCTTTTAGCCAGATGAGCGATTTCATGGAAAAGTACGAAACAGTCTGTTATTGTTACATCCACCATGGAAGCTAAATTTGTGGCATGCTTTGAAGCCATAGTTCAAGCTAATTAGTTGCAAAATTTTATTTGAAGACTTGGAGTAGTCGACAACATTGTCAAACCGCTGAAAATTTATTATGATAATTTTGTAACAATCTTCTTTTCTAAGAACGATAAGTATTCCAATGATGTTAAACATATGTAATTGAAATACTTTGTCGTTAAAGAAAAAATTCAAAAACAAAGAGTGTTAATAAAACATATTAGTACTGATCTTATGATTGCTGATAATTTAACAAAAAGATTACCGTCTAAGTTGTTTGCTAACTATATTGTGAATATAAACATTATGTTGACTAGTGAATGTTGAATATTAATATTATTATTAATGCTTATGTCACACTTTCATATCTTTAATATATAAGTTTTTTATATTTATGTTTTCTTCTTTATTTATATATATGTAAATTATGATGAAAAAAATAAATTATATTATTATTATTAAAATGATATTATATTTAAATTTATTATGGACTTCTCATTATAATATGTAGCTATTATTATTCTTGTTATAACTATATCTTTAATTATAAATAATAATATAACCAATTTATATAAGGTCTTTATTGCGAATGATACAAGAATCATAAAAAATCTACATAATTGATTTATTTTAGTATTGTTTAAAAAAATTAAAACAATATCTTGTATTCAAAACCGAGGAATAGAGAGTAAGAAATTCCAAAATTGTTCTGTTATTCACTGCACTTGAAACGGAAGTGTGGCCCAACTACGTTATGCACTAATTCTAGACCCTGTAGGTTCTGCACTATTTTTTGGGTCTAAAATTGTAGTACTCGTAGTTTTATTTTTATGTGATTTAAAATAAAACTTATATTGGATCATAGTTTAATGGGCTCCAAAATAAAATTTAGTTGGACCACACTTTTTCATTGTACTTCTATATCATAAGTAACATAAAAATACCTTGTGTATCTTTTAGTTTTAGAAATCTAATCTGTTTTTTTTTTCTTCTGTGAGCAGCTTCATAGCCATGCACCTACCTTCATTTTCAAATTTTAAGTGAAAAATTTCTTTGTCTTATACTTTGAATAATAGAAATATTTTGAATTCCTATTGTGTATCTGTTTCATATTAATCTGAAACATATTTTCTCTTCCTCCAAATACATATATATTTTTTTTTCTCTTTTCACTATTATGTATTTTTATTTATTGTATATGATTTTTTTTATCCTATCTACCAAAATAGTTAAAAAATAATTTTCTTTTTATATAACCTAGATAAAACGAATTTAATATTTGTTTACATTAATTCTAAGCGAAAATAGAAAGGATAAAAATGTTTATATTTTATTTAACAATACTAAAATAATTAAAAATATTTTTTTAATTTCTAAAAAATTAGTTTAATTTTAATTTTTTAAAAGGAACTGAATTTATAAAAAGTGAAGAAGAAGTTAATTTTTATAAAATTTAAAATATTATATTTAATTAATAAATAATTATAATAATTAAATTATTTTTTAGTTGTCAAATAAAATATAAATAAAAAATATGGATGTTAATAAAAACTACTCATTTGATTAAATTTTAGTATAAGTTACTCAAAATAATCATATAGCCTATTTAAATGAAATAATAAGTTTAAGGTGTTGTTTGAAATCAAACAACCTTAATTAGATATGTTCTTAGAACGTGATAATTAAGAAAGGAAAGTAAAAGCTTGTTTGATAATTGGAAGAAAAAGTCATAGATAGACACAATCTGATGTGGAAGAAAAAGTCATAGGGAGAAACACGCCATCTGATGTGGTGGTGGGAATAGGGTAGCAGTATCAGTGACTATTGTTGTCTAAATAAAAACACTGGTCATTGTACTTGTGAAAAGGGTTATAAATGAAATCTCAGTATCTTGTGTGGAGTAAAAGCTTTGCTTGGGGCATCACCATTTACCATTATTGAGAAACACATTTATTTTCTCACTCTTCATTAGTTTGGAACAAAAATTGGTTTATTGCCTGCTACTGTAAGTAGGAAGATTCCAAATTTGTTTTGCATTGCTACACTCTTGTAAGACATGTATAGTGTAAAAGTACAAGGGTTGATTTTTCTCCAGCATCAACAACAATTTACCTACACCATATTATTCCATTATAAACTAATTCAAGATTTTTACAATGATGGGGAAACAATAACATGACATTATTTGGTAGTCTCAACCAATTTTCTCATGACATGTATTCAAACTTTTAAATTTACAAAAAAGAAAAAAAATTCAATTATCTATATATATCAGGTAAAAATTAGCAAGAACCATGATGATCCTCACCACCTGATAGTTTAAATCTCGGTCCTTTCTCTTCAAGTCTTAGAAGTGACGATGGAGTCTCGTGTGTCCCTTTTCTTGAGTTTGAGCACCTTTGACCAAAACCCATCTTTCTTCCTTCCATTCACATCCCTCTCTCTCCCTCTGTTCTTCGAAGCAAACGCAAGCGATTTGCTCTTCTTCAAGTTCAAGCCCTGGACGCAGGAGCCGGATTCCGCCGCCGCCGCCAGCGAAGCGTTTCGACGGAACCGTGGTCTACGGTGGCCACCACGACTCGAAGAAAAAGATTGATGAGGAGAAGCAGGTGAAGAAGGCGAAGCAGGAGAAAAAGAAAGAGGATCAATCATAGGGTTGGTGTTGTATAGCTGCGAGAGCTTTTCCCTCAAGCAAGAGGAACAAACACCAGGTGATTGCTTATCATGTGGGTGCTCCTTGCACCCTCCTCTTGTTGCTGCTTCAAACACCATGTCGCAACGTTTCATCATTTTCCTCTCCCTTCGAATTGGACAGTGGTGGTACCTACGTTACGTTCTTCTGCATACCAATAATTTATAAGAAAAATTCAGTGGTCAAAGATGCAATGTATAGTGATTCCATACCTAATACATAACACGTGCACGGATTTGTAGTCTTGTACCTCGAAAGTTCTTGCTTTCTCATGTTGGTGTTCTTAAATATTATTCTTTTTAGCAATTTTGTTTTTGGCAACCCAATGAGGTCAAACCAAAATCGTAGTTGTCGGTCTTAAAAAAATTAACGTTGCTGCTATTTAATTTTGTATATGTATTATTTGAGAACGAGATTGTTGTGTTTGACTGTGTTCAATGTAATTCATATTCTGGATGCGTGTAATAAGAACTAAAGTATTGGTGCAATGGGTTATTGAAAACCACGCGCAAACAAAACGACGTGTATGGTAATTTGTTAGCAGTCTCTTTTACGTGAGCGTGATGACCATTTGTTATATTAGGGTTGAAGAGACAAATTTTATTTTATTTTTTATTATATTATATCATATCCTCAAACCAATAAGTTGGTTCATTTTTCTGTGAAAAAAAAATAAAAAAAAGGAAGGAAGATTTCATTAAGAATGATAAACCAAGTTTTCAAATTCAAGAACAAAAAACACAAATTCTTTATTTAAATGATGTTAAATTTGATCATAAGCGTTTTATGGTCAAATTTGATCATAAACCAACAAGAGTTCAAACTTTATAGACGAACAAATTGTTGAAAGAAAATAGTCTATTATTAAAACGTAATACATTACATACTTTACAAAATTTGACCAGGTTTTTAATAAAATAAAACGTAAAGATTTTTTTTTTTTTACGAAGTCATTATTCAAACTTCCTATAAAGTGGCGTAGATATCACATACTTTATACCCCTCCCATATAATCTGTTTCTTAATTAAAAGTGTTCGTACAAAATTTCGTTGGCGGTTAAATTAATCATTAGGTAAATGATTGCATAGAAATTATTTTTAAAAATAAAACCGTTAATGCCGCTAAGTCAGATTCACTATCCCTAGAACTATGATGCATTAACATTTTCTCATTTTTGCTTTTGAGTTTTAAGTTATTAGTTCAAAACGATGTTATTTATCTTCTAGGGATATAAAAGATGAAGATTCTTTTATTGATTCAAGAAATAAAGTGAGATGAGAGAAAGAAGAATTTGACGGGCAACAAAAAAGGATTTTTTTTTCCTTTTTACATATTTAGATAAAATTGTTTAATTGAATTATATGTTGTACTAAAAGGTTACATGAAAAATTTCAAATTAATACGAGAAAATGTGTGTACTTGTAAGTGTCGGCAAAATTTCTATAATTTATAATTTTTTATTAAATATTACAATATATTTTTATTATTAAAAATTGCAACTACTTTGATTTATTTGAATATGGCAATACTGATTGAAAAAAATTGATGGAATAATATGAGACTTTTAATAAAGTATTATTATTATTTTATATTATAATTCAATAGATTTTATAAATATAATTCATTTTACTCTCTTGATGGACATCTGATGAGAGATTTTTCATGTCCTTGACCACATAAAAGCTTTACATTATTGTTTACTAACTAGTCATGTGACTCGTGTTAAGTACAGGTCTTAAAAATAAAAACACCATTAATAGTCTTTATGTGTCTGTTTTTCTAATTTATTTAGTCATGAAAATAATAAATTGCTAATTTATAAAAAGTATTTTAGAATTTGATAAATTACAAGAGTCTAATTTTCGAAATCAATTTAGTGTGGTTGATTTACAAATTAGTATACACATTGATGAATTAAAAAAAAGGGTAGTTGTATACCAAGTAAAAGAATAATATATATTGGAAACAAAATATATATATAATGATTAATATTCAAGAAGATACATTTACGAGAGAAAAACTTTTTTAATTTTCATTCATTATATTAAACAATCATACAAATATACGTCCCAGTTAGAATAATTGTACATAAATATGTTTTTAATTGAGGATTCTTACACTTTATATGAAAAAATCTTTTTAATATTTTTTATGAAAAATAATCATATATGTAATTATCCAATAAAAAATAATCTATGTCTCTGATATAATATTAATAATAATATCTCAACTCAACCAAGTTCCACTTAATTATTGTTTTGTATTAGCAGAGTATAATTTTTTAAATAAAATTCTATGATCATATATGATTCATACAATATTTTCTTCACCGGAGTCTAATTATCACAAAAGCATCTCCAAATGATCTTTGGCTGCTAAAACTAGTCAACCAATAGAAACCAAGCAATTAGACTTCATGATCCGTGTCAGCAAATTCAAATTCAAATTAAGAAAACACACTTTAAGCATCATAAGCCGTCAGATCTCTAACGGCCAAAAACACATGGTGATCTGTCCATTGTTACGCTATTTATAGTCCTATCATTTCAACAGTTCAGAACCTTTGCATTCTTCTCTTCAAGATTCAGCAAGTGCATTTCGGTACCGGAAACCGAAGCCTTAAGAGGTTAGTTTCTCCTCTGCTCTTGTGTATTTTTGTTCTGGGAAATTTGTATGTTTTTTCTCAATCTGTAGAACTTATTGTATTAAGTTTTTAGAGTTTGAGTCTGTTTTAGGGTTTATAAGATGGTTGTATTGATTTAGCGATCCATCCCATCCTCTTGACATAACCTGTATGATCATTCAAATCTTTTCACTATTAAAACCTTGAAGCCTCGGTTGAATAATTTAGATTAACATTACTTTCTATGTGGTTCCAGTGATTTGATTTGGTCATATAACCCGTTAGTTCTACAAACGGGCGCTGTTCCAACCGGGAACGGAGACCCTAGCAATTTGTTTTAGCTCTGAGTTAGCTCTGAGTTTTGGAGTATTCTGAGTCGTACTCTGAAGCTCTGATACTTGGACATTTGCATTCCTTTGTTAATGTTTAATAGTTTTCTGATGTTATCATTGGAACTTGGCACAGATGGCTCGTACAAAACAAACTGCTCGGAAATCAACTGGTGGAAAAGCTCCTAGGAAGCAGCTTGCGACCAAGGTTTGTGTTTGAATCGTGACCCTAAAGCAAGAAGTTGTTTGAATCGTGACGTTAAAGAAATAAGTAGTTGTGCTTCTGCGACCTCCTGTACTTTTTATTGACTAAAACTTTAATGTTGTCCCTTTTGTCATAGGCTGCACGTAAGTCTGCACCGACAACTGGTGGGGTGAAGAAACCACATCGTTATCGTCCTGGAACTGTTGCTCTTCGGTGAGTTTTGAACTTTGATCGTAATGAAATGTTTCTCACTTGTATTTTTCCTTAGTTTTCTTTTGTAACTTTCATTGTAACGAAATGTGTCTTTCTCACTTGTATTTTTTATTACTTTTCTTTTGTAACGTTTGTATTTATCATTGAGTTTTTTTTTTTTTTTTAACAGTGAAATTAGGAAATATCAGAAGAGTACTGAGCTCCTTATCAGGAAACTCCCATTCCAGAGGCTGGTTCGTGAAATTGCTCAGGACTTCAAAGTATGTTTTGTTCATATTTTTGTTTCTCACTCTTCAAAAAAATACTTGTGTGTGTGAATAATAAAAATATATAATTTGTAATTATTATATGTTTACAGACTGATCTACGATTTCAAAGTCATGCTGTTCTTGCTTTGCAAGAGGCTGCAGAGGCGTATCTTGTTGGGCTCTTTGAGGACACCAACTTGTGTGCTATTCATGCTAAGCGTGTGACTATTATGCCCAAGGATATCCAGCTGGCAAGAAGGATTCGCGGTGAGCGTGCCTGAGGTGGTATGTTTGGGGAAAAGATAGGCTGAGCAGATGATGTCTGGTTTACTCACATTTACTTTTGTTGACATGTTTAAGTTGTTAGGGAAAATAGGTTTTTACTATTAGGTAAACCACATTTGGGAATTTGTATTGGGCAACATTTTATTGCCATCTAATCCAAAGTCTAATAGTTCATTGTTTTGAAGTCTATTATTATTTCCTATTCACCTATTCTTCAAGAGAATTCGGAAACTTATTTTTATGTGTTTACCCAGGTGATGTGTATTTTATAATCAGATTATTAAAAGAAGTGAGTAAATTGTTGATTTTCCTTGCATGGAACGAAATCAATTGTGGGCCAGAAGTTCAAATTTGATAGATGTCTTTTTTTTCTCATGCAATCCAACGATGTTAATAAAGACAATTCTATTTTTATCCATCGTCAGAGCACTTATAAGAAGAGAGTGATAAATTTAGGAAAAAAGATTGCATAGTCTCACTCTAGCTTCGAATGGTTCCACTGAAATAAAATGGGCAAATAGCGTTTTCTCTCAAAAGAGTTGAGTGTGGGGTGGGAGTAATTAGCGCCGCCGCTCCTAATTGCATTGTCTCACTCTAGCTGGTTCCACTGAAATAAAATAACAAAATGAAAAAGTTTATGGAAAAGGAATTTTATTTTAAACCAAGAACATAAAGAAAAGGCTACTTACTACTTTTAAGTTAATGTAACCAATGGGAATTCGACAATTAGATATGGCGATCCGATTTTGGTGTCCCAAATTGCATCATAGCCGTTTATTTAGTTTGAGAAAACACAGTTCGACACTTGATAAACCGCATGATTCCAAATTGAAAAAACACACGGATAATGAATCGTATCCGTTCGATCACGGGACAAACGATTCGTGGAGTATGTTATATATAGGCCTCCACCTCTACTCGGTAAAGTTTTAGATTCTTTTCCTCTACATTCAGCCACTCTTTTTTTAGAAAAACATAGTCCTTGGAGGTTAGTTTATTTCGTTAATGAAGTTTTATATATATCTCTTCTTCCTCTTTAATTTTAATACATCTTCTCAAACTCGCCTGCTTCAGACAATTGGAGTTGTTTTCTGTTTCATTCTTTTCTACATGTAACATTCTGATTCAATAAGCCCCGCCCCCGAAATTAAACTATCGATTATATTTCTCTGTTTCTTAATTAAACATAGACAAAGTTTTGAAGTTTAGGTTACCCTTTAACAAGGGCCAAGAAAGGTTCAATTGTTTTTCTGAATTTATTTTGGGTTTGGACACAGATGGCCCGCACGAAGCAAACTGCTCGTAAGTCAACTGGAGGAAAGGCTCCTAGGAAGCAGCTTGCAACCAAGGTTTGTTGTCAAACCTCAAGAACCGTTATTCTTGATTCAGTTTTGGGGTTGTAAACTCTATCTGATAGCATTAATGTTTGATCCTATGTTTAACTTGTAGGCTGCACGTAAGTCTGCACCAACCACTGGTGGTGTGAAGAAGCCACATCGTTATCGTCCTGGTACTGTTGCTCTTCGGTGAGTGGTTTGTGGTTTGAGTTTGTTTTTTCTTGTCATCTATGGTTTCTAACAATAATTGCTTCTCGAAACAGTGAGATTAGGAAATACCAGAAGAGTACCGAGCTTCTGATCCGTAAACTCCCCTTCCAGAGGTTGGTTCGTGAAATTGCTCAGGACTTCAAGGTATTGAAGTGCTGTAATTGTTGTTTGTGTACTGGTTAGATATACATTTTTGTGAGTACTTACGTTAAGAAAATGAGCAACAATGAAAAAAATGTTTCTCCTTAAGCTAGAATTTAATTTACTGGATGCATACTAGCTTGCTTACATCAGCTTCTTATAAGATGAATTTTAATTTTTGCAGAAGATAGAAGTTTTTTTTCATCTCCCCTTTTTACAAGTGTTTTTATTTCCATTACTTTTACTATACAAACTAGTGCTTTCTAGTACATTTATTCTCCTGTAATAAATGGTATCATATATCAAAGAATTGTGCTTGTGGTTGCAGACTGATCTGCGTTTCCAGAGCCACGCCGTGCTTGCATTGCAAGAAGCGGCTGAGGCATATCTTGTTGGACTCTTTGAGGACACTAACCTGTGTGCCATTCATGCTAAGCGTGTAACTATTATGCCCAAGGACATCCAGCTGGCTAGAAGGATTCGTGGTGAGCGTGCTTGAGGTGGTAGGTTTGGAGTTGTGAAAACGAGTAGCTGGCTGCTGATGACGGTGTATTTGATGATGGTGTATTGTTATTCAGATTTCTTTTTATTCAGAGGGTAGGATGTTAGGGAGTAGGTGTTTACTGGTAGCCACATTAATTGTGAAATAGGCAAATACTTTTAAAGATCCGTGAGTGTCTTTTATCAAATTGTCTTGTAATTGATTTTTGGACATATGGGTCCGTCAATGTTTTGTTTTCACGGGACTGTGCAGCCATGTGGGAATTGTATTGGACGACCTTTAGTTGCCTTCTAATCTGGTTTAAACCTTGTTTGTGGTGTGGGGTTTTTATTCGGGGTTTTGATCCAAGTTTTTCTCTTGTTATCATTATACACCGTGCTCCATCACACGGGTAGTTTATAATTATAACTTGTATCTTGCGTGCATTGGATTTGATTCTCTGCAGTGCGTATTCATCAGTTTTCATCTTGAATTCATCTGACATGATAAAGCAATTTAGTTCAGTTTTCTTCTTGAATTCAGCTGACATGATAAAGCAATTTAGTTTAGCTGACCGCAGAACAAGAAGTCAAAACATTAACTCGCAGAACAAGAAGTCAAGACATTAACTTGCAGAGCATGAAAACTAGAAACACATTATCTTGTATCTATGAATCTCTTTCCAGATTTGAACAATATGTATATCATCCTATATTCAGCCTTCCTGAATCCCATCTCTCAAGCCAACTTCATAACATACATTTTTCAATACAATTCTGCTACACAGATTTGATACAGTAAGGGATGCTTATCTACAAACGAACTCACCATTTTTATCCCTCAAAACTCCGCCACAAGGTGCTATCTTGAACCCAATCATTGACCCATCACGTTCGCTAAAATTTGGCCATGATCTTGCTGAAATCTGTCTAGATATTGACATACTGGCGAGCTGTCTTGAATGCATGAAACAAGCAATTTTTTCCCCACTGCCTCCTTATTAGCTACTCTGAATCGCGGAATCGATTTCTGATAGAGAGATAACATATATCTTCTATTTTTCTTTTCTTTCTTTTCTATATATGTACATAATATTTATCATTCTGTTGCAATATCTCTATCATTATGTTATTTTCTTCTCTGTTTAATAATAATGAAAAGTTTTCTTTTGAGCATTCTGTCAAATACTATCAGACTGAAATTTTCAGTTTCTCTCATGGTCGCTCTTTTTTTTTTCTCTGATTATCTTTCTAAGCCTGCCCACCCTTTATTTCTCCATCCCAGAGAAAAACTAGCCCTAATTCTTGTTACCCATCATCTCTCCGACACCAATTTTCAATAATGCAGGCATGATATGCTTGTGTCCCTAGAAACCAAGAATAAAGAAAGATTTGTTCTGGGTATAATTTTTTTGCCCCCTTCTTTATGATGTTCTACATGCTTCATGGAAGAGATGTAATAAAATGGTGATCTTATTACTGATGCGTTTTAAGATTCTTTTTATCAAATGGATAGACTCCGCTCACAAAATTTGGAACGATCTTCTGCAATCATTTTTATATTGTGATAAGTTTTGTATGACAAATCTTTAAGAATAATTTTAATCTTGTAAATAAGGTACATCCACCATATTTTTTAGTATTATACCCGTTTACAAATCATTTGGAAATAGTTTTCTTTGTATAAAACCATTCTTTTGCAATTGTCCTTCTTTTTTACTTGTGGTTTACTGACCAAGATTCAACAAGAACGAAATGATGATTCTGTTATAAAGTTTCTTCATGGTTTAAATGAAGGGTTCTCCCAAGTTCATTTTCAGATAACATATTATGATAAGTTTTGTATCGCAAATCTTTAAGAATAACTTCAATCTTGTAAATAAGGTGTGTTAGATATTGTTTAGATATAGTTTGATATTGTTAAGATATTGTTATATATTGTTAACCACAATATCAAACAATATTTTCTATTTATTTTGTTTACTTTCGGTTACTCTTTTAGTTGTACCTCTCTATTATAAATAGATTACCCTATGTGTGATTTATACACAAGAGAGATTAATTTCAAACCATATTTCCTCTATATTCAACATGGTATCTAGAGCTTAAGGTTATCTTGAAATTTTTTTTTCGCCTTTTGTCCACTGCTGGAGCCGTCCCACCGCTATTAGAGTCGTCCCACCACTGTTAGAACCGCCCCACCGCTGCTGGTAAACTGATCCTCCGCATCATAAAAGAATTATCTTTGTTACTGAATTTTATTTGGTAGTGTGAAAGTGCATGTCTAAGAAAGTTCTGGCAAGGAAAGACTTAGTATTTAAGTCTGTCCATTAGTGACCCACCTCTCTTTCCTGGGAACTTACCTGGTGTACTGGTTCACGTTGCTGTCACCGCTGCCGCTGGAGCAGTCAGTAGATCCGCCGCTGCTGGAGAATTAGCCGGAGTTTTATTTTTTTGACCAGTGACATATGATTTTGCTTGTCTCGGTCATGGTTTGTTCTCCCCGCTCTTCATGACTTCTTCCATTTCTTCTACTATTTCCAATTTTATTAACAATTCTTTTGTGTTGACATCCCATCGTGATGATCGGACTCACCCTCGCAAACAAGGAAAAAGGCGTCTTAAGTGTGAACATTGTGGCAAGCTAGGTCACAAGATTAACAAGTGTTATACATTACATGGTCGTCATTCTCAATCTGCTGCAGTTGTTCAGACCAATATTTCCCCACCTTTATCTGCTGGGGATCCTCCTTCTTCTGTTGCATCCGACATGCCTGTTATGTTCAACAAATTTCTCGAATGGTATAAGGATCAACAGTCTTCTAGTTCCACTATATCTATCACACATACAAATACATATTTTGCTGGTCTGACCCAATCGTTTTCTCTTGGTCCTTGAGTTTTTATTTAGGAGTCACTGATCATATTACTGGTAACAACAAATCTTTGTTCTCCTCTTTATCCTCTCCTAATCATTTACCTTCTGTTACACTGGCTGATTGCTCTAGAGTATAATCTCATGGTGTTGGAACGGTTAAACTTTTTCCTTCTTTAACCATTGATAATGTTTTGTATGTTCGTGGGTCTCCTTTTAACTTGTTGTCCATCAGTCGTCTAACTCGTTCTCTTGATTGTGTTGTTACTTTTACCAATAATTCTGTGTGTTTACAGGACCGGAGTTCGAAACAGGTGATTGACACAGATGTGGGTCTCATGGTCTTTATTATCTTTGTCCCTCTACACATGTTAGTTATGGAGTCTCCCTCTCTTCTTCATGCTTAGTTAGGTCATCCAAGTCTTGCCAATTTACAAGAACTTGTCCCTGCCTTGTCCAACTTATCTAGTCTGGCATGTGAGTCATGTCAATTAGGCAAACATAGTCGTACTTCCTTTCCTCGTAATTTCACACGTGGTGCTTCGTCCCTTTTTGCAGTCACTCTGACATTTGGGGACCTAGCCGCGTTAAGTTTACTTTAGGTTTTCAATACTTTATTACTTTCATTGATGATTATTCCAGATGCACTTGGTTATTTTTGATGAAAAATCGTTCTAAATTATTTCATATCTTTCAAACTTTTTTTAATGAAATTCAAACTCAGTTTGGTGTTTCTATTAGAGTTTTGCGTAGTGATAATGACCGTGAATATCTTTCTTATTCTTTTAAACAATTCATGGCTTCTCACGGTATTTTGCATCAAACTTCTTGTGCTTATACACCTCAACAAAATAGTGTAGCTGAACGTAAAAATAGACATCTTATTGAAACAACTCGCACACTTTTAATTCATGGAGATGTTCCTCAACATTTTTGAGGTAATGCTCTTCTTACTGCATGTTATCTCATTAATCGCATGCCTTATTCGGTTTTAGATAATAAAATACCTCATTCCATTTTATTCCCTCATGAACCACTTCATCCTTTACCTCTGAGAGTTTTCGGGTCTACATGTTTTGTTCATAATTTCAGTTCTGGTCTTGACAAGCTTTCTCCTAGATCACATAAATGTGTTTTCTTAGAGTTTATAAGATCACAAAAATGATACAAATGTTTTTCTCCTTCTCTTAACCATTATTTTGTGTCAAAAGATGTCACCTTTGATGAATTTTCTTTTTATTTTAAAAGTCAATCTTCACCTTTGTCTCCATTCAATCTTGTCAACACTCCTAATATATTTAATGTTCCTGTTGTTTGTGACCCTCTAACTGTGTCTTCTTCACCATTAGTTCCTGCTCCGCAGTCAGCTTCTTCTCCACTGCCTCTTCAGATTTATAGTTCTCGAAACCAATCACAATCACCACCATGTAACTCCACTCAAGTGCCAACTACTCTGTCTCCTCCGGATCTGACATATGAGTCTGACCTTCCCATTGCCCTCCGAAAAGGTATTCATTCTACATGTAATCCCTCTTCCCATTAAATTGCTTTGAGTTATCATCGACTGTCATTACCTTTTTATACATGTCTTTCCTCTATTTCTTCTATGACCATTCCAAAAACTGTCTGTGAACATCCTGGTTGGCGTAGGCCATGTTAGATGAACTAAGTACTCTTCATAATAGTGGAACTTGGGAATTGGGCTCGTTACCGTCTGGGAAATCTGTTGTTGGTTGCAGGTGGGTGTTTGCTATCAAAGTTGGACCTGATGGTACTATTGATCGCCTCGAAGCTCGTCTTGTGGCCAAAGGTTATACTCAAATTTTTGGGTTGGATTATGGAGATACCTTTTCCCCTATGGCAAAGATGACTTCTGTTCGTTTATTTATCGCCATGGCTGCTCTTCAACAATGACCTCTTTATTAACTGGATGTTAAAAATGCTTTCCTCAATGGTGATTTGCAAGAAGGAATATATATGGAGCAACCTCCTGGGTTTGTTGCTCAGGGGGAGTCTTCTGGGATGGTATGTCGTCTTCGCAAATCCCTATATGGCCTAAAACAGTCTCCTAGGGCTTGGTTTGGAAAGTTTAGCAAGGTTGTTCAACAATTTGGTATGACTCGGTGTGAAGCAGATCATTCTGTCTTTTATCGACACTCGAGTGTTGGATGTGTTTACTTGATAGTATATGTTGATGACATCGTTCTTACAGGTAGTGACAACCATGACATCTCTCAGTTGAAACAACATCTCTGTCACCATTTTCAGATCAAAGATCTTGGCAAACTTAGATATTTCTTGGGTATTGAGGTGACACAGTCCAATGATGGTATTGTTATATCTCAGAGGAAATATGCCATAGATATTTTGGAGGAAAATGGGTTGATGAGTTCAAAGTCTGTTGTTACACCCATGAATCCCAATACTAAACTTCTACCAAATCAGGGGGAGGCTATATCTGATCCTAAGCAGGTATAGAAGATTGGTTGGAAAATTGAATTATCTTACAGTTACTCGTCCCGACATTTCCTTTGCGAGTCAGTGTGGTAAGTCAATTTCTTAATTCACCATGTGAAGATCATTGGAATGCGATCATTCGTATCTTGAAGTATATTAAAGGATCTCCTGGAAAAGGATTGTTATATGGTTCTAATAACCATACAAGATTTGTTTGCTACTCGAGATGCTCGATTGGGCGGGATCTCCTTCGGATAGAAGATCTACATCCGGATATTGTGTCTCTATTGGTGGTAACTTGATCTCATGGAAAAGTAAGAAACAAAGTGTTGTGGCAAGATCTAGTGCAGAAGCAGAATATAGAACTATGACCTCAGCTGCCTGTGAACTTGTTTGGCTCAAGCAATTGCTTAGAGAGTTACAATTTGCAGATGTCACTTAAATGACACTTGTGTGTGACAATCAGGCTGCTCTTCATATTAGTTCTAATCCTGTTTTTCATGAGAGGGCCAAATACATTGAGATTGACTGTCATTTCATTCGAAAAAAAATTATGTATGGAGATATCAAGACTGAGCTTGTTAACTCAAGTGATCAGTTAGCAGATATTTT